GAAATCATTCCAAGCAGTTTTTTCAATACCTGTTAAAGTGTTTTCAAACTGTGTATCTTTCAAAATATTTCGAATCTGTGGCCCAACAAAAATACCTTCTTTAACCTTTGCCTCACTTAGTCTTGGAAATTTCTGACGCAGGTATTGAAAAGCTGACCCATCCCTATCTAATGCCTTGACAAAGTTTTTCATTAGGCCCAACTTGATATGCAGTGGTGATAATAAAATTTTTTTCGAATCTACTAATGGCATATGCTGTACATTTTTTTGACCTGGCTCTAGGAATTATAATAATAATAATAATAATAATAATAAATGGGCTTTATTTCGTACCTAAGTAAAAGTACAAAAAAGGCGAAGTGTCGCTAAAATTAGCGTTTTTCAACTTAACCTTAACCTTAACAAAATATATATATATATATATATATATATATATAATAAAACATTCTACCAACAAAAATGTATCCATAATTCTCAATAATTACTAAATAATTAACAACACAGAACAATTACAAGAATAGTCCATATTTCTAGCATTTTGTACTCATCATCAGACCTCGACTTGTAGTTTTAGTTTAAGCCTCTTTTTAAAGTTAAATAACGTATAGTTTTGGAATGTAACAGGCAGATCATTGTATAATTTAATAGCATTGTAGCTGAATGATGTTTTGTAGACAGCCTTAGAATGTAAGGGTATCACTAACATATTCCTATTCCTTGTATTCAGTTGATTTAAGTCACTACATCGTGTTAACTTATTATGCAAATATTGTGGTTGTTTGGTAGCTAAAACCTTATGTGTGAGTGTCAATAAGTGAAGCTTTTGCATGCCTTTAATCTGCAGAATACCAAGTTCCTTAAATTTATGAGAAATATGATCAAACTTTCGTATTCCGCAAGAAAATCTGATGCACGAATTCTGAATACGCTGTAATTTGCTTTGTTCACTATATGATAGAGCTGCGCCTTATCACAATAATTATCACAATAACTGATTTTTGATATAATTAATGTTTCACACAGTTTCAGCTTTACTGAAGTAGATATTATTTGCCTATGTGGATAAAACTGTTTCAAAATGCAGTATGATGCACTACATAACGAATTTACGTGTTTTTTGTATTTTAGTTCTGTGTCAATCCAGAGTCCCAGGTTTTTACACTCATTCATTATAGGAAGCCGGCAATCATAGATTTTAAGGTTAATTTCCGTTTCGATCAATGTTCTTTTGTTTTTTGAGCCGAAAACCATAACTGAAGATTTAGATGGATTAATTTTTAGGTTATGTGAGCACCAGATGTCTACTAGCCTTGTTAAGTCTTCGTTGAGCAATGCTTCTGCAATTTTAAAATCTTTGTGTTGGAAACTAAAATAAATTTGAGTATCATCAGCATAGTGATGGATTGTGCAATTATGGACATATTGATGGAAATCCGATATATATAGAGAGAAAAGTAAAGGTCCCAGTATGGAACCTTGTGGAACACCAAAACTTATAGCAGTTGACTGTGACATTTTCGAAGCTGTTAAGACGTTTTGATTTCTATTTGACAAATAGCAGCTTATCAAATTGACTGCAGCATTAGTAAAACCATAGTAAGACAGCTTAAGTAGCAGAATTTCAGGGTCTATCATATCAAAAGCTTTTGTGTAATCCAGCAGAACTAAACAAGTGATATTTCCTTGGTCAAGGCCTCTTATAACATCATCAGTGACACTGGCTAGAGCAGTTGTTGTACTATGGTTTTCCCTGAATCCAGACTGCATTGATGGAACTATTTCATTACTGAAAATATACTGAGATATTTGTATCTTCATTTCCCGTTCCAAAAGCTTCGAAAATGCGGGAAGTAAGCTGACTGGTCTAAGTTGCGTTACAGACGTGGGACTCGCTACTTTAGGAATAGGTATGATGATAGCCTGCTTCCAAACATCAGGGAAACATGATGTTGATATTGCGTGATTGATTTTAAATGTAATATGGTCTAAGAGCAAAGTGAAAATGTATTTTATCATAATGAGTGAGATTCCATCAGCCCCTACAGCATTAGTTTTAATAAATGAGAAACTCTTCGCAACAGATTCTTTGGCAACCTTTTGGAAACAGAATGACTTGGGAAACTTATTGTTTTGATATTTGTTCAGTAGTTCTAATTGCTTTTGTGTCTTGGTTATGATCGGAATATTTGAGAAATGTGAATTTATTTCATCTGCGTCATTGAAGCTATCTGGAAAAGTATTTATAGAGGACTTAATTATATTAAGTTTCCTAAGAGAACTCCATATTGCTTTACTGTTCCTCCCAGATAGGATATATTCCATATAAGCCTTTTTCTCTCTCCGCAGAGCAGCAGCAGCGTAATTACGGAGTTCTTTATAATAGTTCCAGTGGGCAGTTGACTTACTTCTTTTAACCCTTAGATACGCTTTATCTCTAGCTTTATTGATCATTTTAATATTGTATGTTAGCCAAGGAGCTGGTGGCTTAGTAACTCTAAGTGTTCTCATAGGTGCACTATTATCAAATGAATTTAGTATGTTGCTATTTAAAAAATTTACCATGTCATTAACGCTGTTTAATTGAAAAATATCATCCCAATGAGTCGAATGAAATAAATCATAAAAGGTACGTTCATCAAAGTTACGAAAGTCCCTAAACGTGTAAAACTTCTGCGTCCGGTTGCTTAACGTTTTATGGAGGTGACAAACAACAGCTGAATGATCAGATAACTCATGAACTGGAACAACATTGCAGTTTCTTACATTTTCTCCATCTGAGCAGATAAAAACATCTATCAATGTTTGTGAGTGGCTTGTAACTCTCGTGGAAGCATCTACTACCTGCTTCAAATTGAAAGACTCTAAAAAATTTAGCATAATGTCCGTAGCCGATGAATTAATCAATAAATTTATATTGAGATCACCTAGAATTACAATAACATCCGCAGATGGTAATACTATAGATAAGGTATTTTCTATACTGTCAAATGTTTGCAGAATATTTGAACAAGGAGGTCGATACAATGCACCGAAGGTATACGTTTTGCCATCGAATCTGAAACTGATCCATTGCTCTTCCAAAAGGGGATCAATATTTGTACGGAGCAACTTGAATTTTATGTGTTCTTTTAGAAAGAAGCCGACACCTCCCCCTCTACCGATTCTGTCCGCATGTATAAAATTGTAATTGGGAATACGGATAGCCGAAGATCCGATATCATCATTCAACCAAGTTTCGGTGACTGCAAATATATCGAAATTTTCAGAAATCACTAAATCCTGGAGTAGACAAAATCCTGACAAAAGTGATCTAACATTAAGATGACCAACTTTCATGTCTTACATGTAAATTAATGTCTATTTGATAGTAAAGAAATAGTATAAAAAAAAATAAAGTCAGTCCACACTACTCAATTATTCTAAGGAGTACAATTGACGAACAGGTCAGTTTTGTCTGGTGTAATGAAGTGCCTTTGCCCGACTGTCCCATTCACACAAAAAACAGCAAAACTTTGTGTAGTCTAGCTGCAGCCCAAGTAAAAGTGCAACAACTTTCAAAGCGCCACAAATATGCCATTGGTATACTCGTATTTTATGCATGTCAATAGGTACTTCATATTGTCATAAGATTCTTTCATGTGAACTGCATACCCTACAGGAAGAGATGGTAAAATATTTCCAATATGCAAAAACACTGCCTTTAAACTCAATGTTGAACTGTCTATAAACAATCTCCATTCTTCTGGGTTATAGTTTATATTTAAAGCCGCCAGTAAGCCGTTAATGTTACTGCAGAAAACCAAGTTATTCTCCATATTGAAAAATGGTTCTAAGTCTTTGTGGCGTTTACGAAAAACACATACCGAAACATCGTCTTCTAACAAGTTCCACTACTGCAGTCTTGATCCAAGTAACTCTGCCTTACATTTTGGAAGTTCTAAATCTCTTACAAGATCATTTAATTCTGACTGTGTTATTTTGTGCGGTTGGTGGCATGACGTGCTCGGTATAAAATCAGGATCTCTTGACGTTGATGGCATATCTTCTTCCTGACGAATCACTCGATCGCCATGATCTGATTCGTTTTCTGATTCGCAAGTGTAGGATTCTGGGGGTTTTGGAATAGGATTTTCGTCACTGTGAGGCACAGATCTCATCGCGGATGGTATGTTTGGGTAGTTAGTAACCGATTTTTTTTTCTTGGGCGTACCTGTGGCTTGTCCAACACAAGGTACCATGCAAAAGTAACAATCATTAATATGATTTGTAGGCTCTCTCCAAACCATTGGGACAGCAAAGCGCATAGACCGTTTTTTGCCATTTAACCAGCTCCTCAGACTTGAAGCACATGTATTACAGCAAATTTGGGGTGCCCACTGTTTGTCTTGATCACCTAGTTTACAACCGAAATAAAGCTGATATGCCTTTGTTATTAGTGGAGTAATAGACCGTCTCTGAGACGCAAAAGTCACATCACCACACACGTAACAAAACTGATCTGAATTGTTTACACACTTTCGAGACATCTTGCATGAACGCTGTCAGCCAACTGAGGAAAAATGGCTAATATAAAACAATATAATGTACACGTATGTATAACGTAACACAATCATGTCGATTACATCATCTTTCCTTGCCGAATATAAAAATGTAGCACGTGCATTCTTCTGAATTACAGTATATTAACACTGTCACAGCAGGAACACATATAATTACCGTATCTCTAAAACTTGAACTAATATTGAAAAAATAAGTTTCATTCCGGTTTTAGCACATTAAAAATAGTAATATTTTGTTGATTTTATTTAGGATATTTTTTGGCTGTTGATCAGTGTAATTTGTTTGTCTCATTTATAGAGTAAACAAATGATTAATAACTATCTGTTTGGTAGAGTGGCCTTCCATGGTTCACCCAGCTCATCATCGGATTCGTGATTACGCAAGGATTTTTCAAAGTTTTCTTCAGTACTTATTCCATCAGTTTCGGTATAACTACTCATAATCAATGCAATGCAATATCAGATATCTAAATAATCGTTAATCCATACATAAGGAAAATATATGGTAATCTCGTTCACCATGACTAAAATATGCAAAGGTCAAGACAATCTTGTAATGTAAAACACAGAAATGACTTCAACCATCACCCGGGGAAACAACACAAGCATATGACAACAAGAACCACTGCGTACTCAAGTAGCACTTAATTTGCGGTATTCCCGATAATTTTTGTGAAGTTGGTGGGGACAAAACCGCGTGCGAGTAGAAAAACAGCTTAGATGATCGCCGATCATTTGTATAAACACAGCAGATCATTAGCAATCTATCCGATTTCAAAGTCAAGGTGAATCAAATGCATCCTGGTAGATATTCCAGTGGGTGAGTCACTTCGTTTGCAGTTTTATTGATTGACATTTGTAGCGCGCCAAATCGTTTGGCATTTAATAATACTAATGGAGTTAAAGATGGCTGAACGTTCAATGATTTTAAATGGGTTCTAAATAATGTGTTATCGCTGGATAGTCAAGTTGCTTTCTTAATCTTTGTTTTATATTCTTGAACTTTTAGGTGTTCTGGATCGTTGAATTTTTGTACGGGGGACAGGAGAGAAATTCGTGGGACTTATGTTTGAAATGCAATTATTTTAATCAAATAGGTTTGTAGAATTAGAACTAGATTGGTATTAAACTAGTATTATAGCTTTAGGGTGGATTTCACCAATACTGTCAAACTAACAGTCCGTTATTCTCCACTCCACTCCAAAAATATTCACAATCCTATAAGCAAGAATCGAAAAAGGAGTTTCCAGAATGGTTTGCAAAGTACGTTGAAAGAGCGACCAGTATGCACACTGTAGAAGTTGTAATATAGAACTATGCCCTCAAGAAACATTTTGTGTGCGCCAATACAATAACAGACGTTTTTCATGACTCAAATGGTCCTTGATCTACCACTGATCTTGGGACGGCATTTACCTTATACCGAACTCAACGACACTGTTTACCGATAGGTGGATGCGGACACTTTTACAAATGTCGATGTTTTAGGACCCAGAAATGCAGAATGTGCTGTTTGTTTACATTTGGTGTGGATTTCTAGATCATAAATTGCAAAAATTGTCTTTGATGTAACGAAAGATGATGAACCAGTTGGAATACGTTTTATATTCTTTTTTTGCAAAATAACAAAAATCGGTACATTTCTACAGGTACATATTATGTACAACACCCTGTACGTGATGTACAGACAAAACGAGATTGCCATGCATGAACAGTCGTCAAAAACAGTGAAAACATCCTACTAAATATAATAGATAGAAAATCGACTTATTATTTCTCTCATTTTCATTGGTCCATTTAAACATCTGACCGTCTTTTGTGAAATGATAAAAATTTTAAATTCTATGGAAGTTATCCTAATTCTAAAGCACAAAGACATAATATTACATCTATAATGTACCATTATTTATAATGCAACCGTTTTTTCACGACTCTATTCAACATTTCAATAGAGATCACTGATATTCAGAGAGCTTTGACAGCTTCCGTCATATTGCATTTCGATAAGGTCTTTTCCCTATTGGTCCAAGGGACCGTTAAATATTAATGTTGGTGAAATTGGCCCTAAGTTTGTCTGACCAGATACGGCCAACCATGGACAGCTGTTTCGTGCTATTTGGCAACTCTTCAGCATGGCGTATGCTTGGTCTTGGTGGACAACGAACGGAAGTTGCCTCATTTCGATACACCTTATGCTCTGAATTGAGTTGCTGTTTTCACTTTCGCAGTGGCCGATTCTGGTGATAGATGGCACTTTGTGCTGTCTTATTTCGATACATTTTTATTGTGAGAAATATTCAGTGTTGCCGAACCGAAAAGAACGAAATTGCTATATATGTAGTATCATTAAAATTAGGTAGCTTTAAGAAGAAAATCGGTAGGAGGAAAAAAATCAGGGCCATCGCAAGTGGATCAAGGACCTTTGTGTCACGCAGCGCAGTCTATGGAAAAATGATATTTTTATACAGGGTGTTTCAGAACTATGGTATCAAACTTGTAGGGGTTATTCAGTGTAACAGTAGAAAATATTTGAGTATAGGGACCCATATCCGGAAAAGTGTCACTACGGACCTAAGACGCGTTAAAATTTAGAAACACGATGAATTGCCTAAATAGGATTTAATGCTTTTAATTTTTGCCTTTTATACATGATATCATCACAACAATTGTTCAAAATGTCTTCCTCCAACCTGAATATACCGTTCATGTGGGGACATGTAAAGTCTTTGGCTTACGAAACTCCAGTAGACACAGAACAAGAATTACTTGGACGAATTACAGCAGCATTTGAAATCATTCAAAACGAGTATCAAATTTTTATTCAAGTCCGCTGAAATCGTGTGCGACGTTTAAATCGGTGTATTCAGGTTGGAGGAAGACATTTTGAACAATTGTGATGATATTTTATTTTTTTTATTTTATTTTTTATTTTATTTAGCAACATCCAACAGCCATAGCCAATTACAGGATGGATAAACGTGAAAATATAAACAAATGCATGTTGTGGATGTATGTAGAGAAAGCTAAAACGCTGCAAAAAAAAACCTCCAAACAGAACTGGGAGGAAAAAAAAGCGTTCTAGCTTTACCTACCCAGCACTCGACAATCACACGGGCAAGCATTAACGAAAATAAGCATTAATGTCTCCCAAAGTCGCACAAAGCGAAAATATATCTAAAACGCTATTAACTGAATTATAATTACGGCACATTATATATATAGGGGAAAACTTAAGTATGTCAGTCCTAGGCCTGGCTAAGTAAAAAGTTAAACTAGTTCGTGACGCTAATCTAGGAATTAAGAAGTTAAGTTGTTCTCAGATGACACTGGAGTCAATAATGCCGTGGATGAGCTTGTGAATGAACTTAAGTGAATTCATTTTGCGTCTGCTGTCTAAATTATAGATTTTGTGCCTCGCCATCAACTCACTATGAGGAAAGCCAATAGCGGGATATATCCCGTCAGCTTTGTATGAGAGGTATTTTAAAAACTTTCTTTGAACGGACTCTAAGCGGTCAATATATATTTGATGATGAGGATACCATACCAGGGACGCATACTCAAGCTTAGATCTTACATAAGCATAGTACAGTATTTTCAGTGTAAAGGAGTTGTGGAAATCGCCGGTATTTCTTACAATAAAACCATACGCCTTTGATGCAGCCACAACAGCATTTTCAATGTGATAGGAGAAGGAAAGTTTTCTGTCAAATGTGACTCCCAGGTCATTAATTGTACTAGGTCTGTCAAGTTTCCTGTCACCAATACTACGTAGTCATGCCATAAGTTCTGTCCCTCGTTTTCAAACAAGTGTAGACCTGTTAATACTTGTCCGATTGTTTACATTGTGGTGTCAGTTGATTAAGCGCTTTTCGGGTAATTACATATACCTCAGTTTGTATTGATCTCTCGAAGCATAACGATGGAGTGGGGCAAGGCAGGGAACCGTATTGCAGTGATAGCTTTACATAAGTGTAATCACAGTGCTAGTCAGATTTTTGAACTCTTACGCGGCCTTCAAATATCGCGTAAATTTGTGTCTAGGACCATTCAGCGGTACAATGAGACGTCCTCTGTTGATGACAGGCCAAGAAGCGGAAGACCTCGTCAAGTAAGGACTCCAGCAGCCATCAAAGCCGTAAAAGCCAGGATTCAAAGGAATCCACTCTGGAAGCAGAAGATCCTATCCAGGGAAATGAAGATTGCTGTCCGGACGATGTCGCGCATCATTAAACAAGACCTAGGGCTAGGGGCTTACCGGAGACGTACGGGCCAGCGACTTACGGCCACCTTGCGACACATCAGGGCGACAAGATCCAAGAAGCTCTTGGAGAGGTACGCAGCTGGGGGATTCCGAAAGATTTTGTTCACGGATGAGAAAATCTTCACCATAGAAGAAAAATTCAACCGACAAAATGACAAAGTGTATGCAAGGAGTTCACAGGAAGCTTCGGAGATCATTCCGAGAGTTGAGAGAGGCCACCACCCTGCGTCAGTCATGGTTTGGTGGGGGGTGTCCTACGAAGGGGTCACTCAGCTCCATTTCTGTAAACAGGGCGTGAAAACAAAAGCGGCAAACTATCAGAGCGACATACTGGATCCTATCGTCAAGCCTTTAAGTGGTACATTGTTTGCCAACCAACACTGGGTCTACCAGCAGGATTCCGCCCCCGCTCACAAGGCTAAGAGTACGCAGCGCTGGCTGGAAAGCAATGTGCCAGAGTTCATTGCTGCGGAAGATTGGCCCTCAGGGAGTCCGGACCTCAATCCTTTAGACTACAAGTTGTGGGACCTGCTAGAGCAGTTGGCCTGCTCCAAAGCCCACCGTAATATCGAGTCCCTGAAAGCGGATTTGATCCGATCAGCGGCAGCTATTCCTTTGGAAGCTGTGCGTGCAGTGATAGATGAGTGGCCCGCGAGATTGAAGCAGTGTGTGAAGGCCAAGGGGGGACATTTTGAATAAAACTGTTTGATTATGAATTCTAAAAATGTTGTCGAATAAATAATATCTTTCATATAAATATATCTTATCTTGTTTCATTTTTATCATGAGATTATCATGGGACAGAACTTATGGCACGACTACGTATATTCATACATCATTACCCCTGTTTTTAAAGTAAACGACAAAACGTGACACTGAGCAGCATTCAAAACAAGTCTGTTTTCACGACACCAGTTGTCAACCCTTACAATGTTGCATTGCAAGCGATGACAATCGTCAATGTTAGAGACTCTACAGAAAAGTTTCATATCGTCAGCGTATATAAGAAAATCGACATCGATAACTTCAGAAATATCATTTATGAACATAATAAATAACAGAGGTCCCAAATTAGATCCTTGAGGAACACCGGACATTACAGGGTATTCGCTTGACTTATGTCTATTGCACACAACATATTGTTTCCTATGACATAAATAAGATCTGAAAAATAGCAACAATGCATCTGAAAGACCAAATCTAGATAACTTATTGAGTAGAATGTTATGGTCTAAACTATCAAAAGCTTTAGAGAAATCAGTATATATTACATCCGTTTATCATGTACAAAAGGCACAAATTAAATGCATTAAATCCTATTTAGGCAATTCATCGTCTTTATAAATTTTAACGCGTCTTAGGCCCGTATCGTCAGTCGTCCCTACAATTTATGGCCTCCTTGATTGTCATAGTTTTCTACTTCTCCGTGTCAGCGCTCTATTTTGAGGTTATGTCACAAACATCTATTTGCATCAAATTATGCTTGCTTTTGAGTTATATCATGTTTTATCAGCCTGAAAGTTCCTACAATTTAAAAAGAAAACATATCTTTACAA